CACAGTCTTCGAAGTCACCACTCCATTGCACACAGTATCCGGAGCCATCACACACATCAGTCATATGGCCCCCCAGGAATACCCCCTCTCTATGCCTCTCCAATGATGATGATGCCAGCACCCTCTCCTACCATGGGGCCTCCTGTAGCCCCTACAGGTCGTGATCTAGCTTCCGTCCCACCAGAACTCACCGCTAGTAGACAGTCCTTCCGCATGGCCATGGGGAATCCCAGTGAGTTCTTTGTGGATGTTATGTGAGCGAGAATTCCAACTATGGCCCTGTTTATTTTTTATTTTTTAACCCGTTGTGTCAATCTGAAAATATCATTATTTACATTATGATACTAAGAAAAGAGATGGATTGACCAGCACGATCCTGATGAGCTGTGTGTGTGTGATGTGCGCACGGACCCTTTCACTCGCCACTAATCCACGCACCTAATCTCTCAGAATCCCGCTAAGACTGTGTGATTGTACAGGGGGAGGAGGCTGGCCGCATTCTTGCCTGGCTGCTTGGCTTTTGTAACAGATTGATTTTAACAAATTAATAATGCATCCATTTAAAACTCAGAGACGCAAATAGCGGACCGAATTAAGTCATTCCTTCTTATGTTTACTTTTTTTTTTTTTTAATATATATATATATTCTTTCTCCTCCCCCCGCCCCTCCACTTTTTTTTTAATTTTTTTATTTTTTTTTACACTTTGTATTTCTTTCATTAAGCAGCAAAGAATTCTGGGGTATTTGATTTTCTCTGAGCAAGCTGCCAGAGGAAGTGTATGAACACCGTTCGGAGTTTCACTTTCTTGTGAGCATGTCAGAACAGCACAGTGTATAGATGAGGAGATTCCGCTGCCACAGGAACATCTTAAAACAGGAGAAGATTCTGCTGAGGGGAACACCACAAGCCTTACATTTTCACAATACAAGAATGAATATAACCACGGAGTGCCACAACACATCACATTCAGAATATAAACTGAAACAAAACAAAAATTATACTTTTTTTTTATTTAATATTCATATAAAAGTACTGCTGTCACAGCTCCATGCTCTAAAAATGTTACTTATTTTTGGATTTTATTTTCAGATCTTAAGCAGCATAATGTATTTTAACTATCCATCTGTAAGGCCTGCAGCATATTGCTCTGCATTATTCTTAAATTGTTTAGCAACATGTATATCATTTTGGCATGAATGGATTAGAACGTCTCTCCTTGTTGCTGTCCTATAACAGTCCTACTGTTTTTTTCCTTGCATTTTCCACACTGCAGCTGGATTTTCTTCTCTTCTATTACCTGGGGATGATATCCTAACAATGGTGCTAGTAAATCTATTATTCCACAAACAATAATATTCTGTGCTACCCTGCCATCTTTCCCTTTCCCCCCCTCCCAGCAAAAAAACAAAACACTAAACTAAAGGCACAACTGGGGATAGAGGCATTGCACAAATGTATACAGAGTGACTTTAATGTGGTCTCTGCATCAAAGCTTTACACTAACTGACAGGCTGATACGTGATCCCAAGAACATGGTATTGTGGCAGGAAGTCGGAGTTCCTTTAGTATCTGATCATCACAGACACTTCCATTAAAGCAAGTTCTGCTCTCACTTTGTTGCTCAACATTCTTGTATGCTTCAGAGTGAAGCATTGTGTGTAAATGCATTCAGTCTTCGAGCAAATACCTGGTATTACTTTTAATTTTATTATTTCTTTTCCCCATTGCTTTGTTGCACTGAAATGTTTCTGCTGCAATAAATCTCCACTCAAGTTTACATGTCAACTTGTTTTATTCACTTGGTTTTAAAATAATAACACACACATTGTCATATATGGCTAACAACTTAGATCATCCTGTGGAACGTGTCCCTTGACCACAGTGAGTGGTGGCAGAGGTCATGGAAATGTCTTAAAAAAGCAACAAGAAAATCACTTAGTGTCATATTCTGGTCACAATTCATGCTTTCATTCCTGTAATGATATTGTGTAGTTTGTTTCACTTCTCATCAAATGGCTGACCCAGTTACCCATTTCACTTCATATTAAATATTATATTTTTATAGTCTAGATCTGTGGGGCCTAGACTGAAACTTTCCTGTAATGCAGCAGTGGGACAGACTTCTCATTGCAGCCCGATCTTCCTCTGATGAAGTTGGATAAACCGTTATATTTCCTATAGAGGCATTGGAACATAGGGTGGATGAGCAGCCATCACTGTCCTCCATCTGGGAGAAGCATTAGTGGCATTCAGTGTCATAATGTTCTGTGTAATGTTGCCAAATATGAAAACCTTCAAAAGTTGGAATTGCTTCTAGTGGCTCTCTGCCTGATAACAACTCGAGGCACACTTTAGCATAAAATTGGCATTGCTTGACATCATCAGACTAAAGGGCCGGTATCCATACACCAAAACACCTTTATTGAGATGTAGCAGTTTTGGCTCTTGGAATATCCCATTATGGATTGACAAAAATCTAATTTCTGCTTTCTTGTGTTGAAGGGTCATTTATTTTTAAATCTAATTAAACAGCCAAAATATAATTATGCATTATGACTTCAAAAGGCAATTTAAAAAATCTGTAAAAGCTGAATGTTGTTTACATTGTCTAGATGTTTATTGGAAATGGCTTCTTAAATAACAACTGTAATCAAATTTTCACTTCAAAGTTTTCACTTTGAAAGTGTATTACATTTAATGATCAATATAGATGTGTATATATAACTTTTTACGTGTATTTTGAGAATGTTTAGCGTTGTCTGATTGAGCAGTTATGTTGTATCAAAGAAGAGAAACACAGGCAGCACTCCAGGATATAGAAGGTGAATTTATTGGTGGGTTCACCACCTCCCCAAAATAAGTGCGACGTTTCGACTCCTAAGAGCCTTAATCATCAGGAGCCAAAACGTTGCACTTATTTTGGTGAGGTGGTAAACCAACAAATAAATGCACCTTCTATATCCAGGAGTGCTACCTGTGTTTCTCTTCTTTGATGCTACATTGGTGGATTCAGCTGTGTCCATCCTACACACAGAGTGCCCCCTTGGTGGAAGGCCAGAGCATATGTGCAGGACCTGAGTGCAGGGTATTCTGTTTTTGTTGAGCAGTTATGTTGTATCATACTCTACTGTTATCTGACTAACTGCTGCTCAACCTAATTTGCCTGCTGCTGTGATTGCTCTATGTGAACCTGCAGCAGCAGCAAAGTTGGCTTGAGTTTCAGTTAGTTAGAAAACAGTAGTCTAGCCCAACAAGGCTGCTTAGATTAAAAAATCAATATACATCATTTGAGAAAAATATGTAATAAACTTAAAAAAATTATAAGTTCAAATTTGGTGATAGAGGTCCTTCAATGTTATGTTTCTATGAAGGCGAGTTCTTAAAGCACACTGCAGATGGCAAGAGTGCACTTTATAACAAAATATTTGGTACAGTGCTAAGCATTTGTTATGGAACTAAGAAAAAAAAATGGTAGATTCTTTTGTGAGGTTTTGGTAAGTTTCTAATTAACTTTGCCCCAGTGCATAACTTAAAAGTGAATTAAAAGGACTCTTGGTATCAATACTTTTAAGGAATATTAAATGTTGGGAACACAAACCTGTATTTCTAACTCTTTAGTATTCCTGTCCCTAGTTAGATAGATGACTCCCCTGTGTGTGGAAAAAAATTGATATTTACTTAATTTTTTTCTTGCACCACGGCTTCCTCGACAGTGCTTACCTCTGGCCTCGCAAGCTGTCATAGAGGATGCATGGCCTCAGAGTAGCATTGGATACCTGGTGCATATGCGGGTTCAGTGATGCTTGAGCATTGCTTTCCTATGTGAGCTAGTGCATCACATGCATGTGGTGGCTGTCAGTATGATGAGGCAGTGTGAAACCATTTGAAAAGGTAAGTTGGTGTCAGGGTATTTTATCTCAATGAAGGGGTTATGGTGGTCAGGTAGAATTTAAATATTTTTTTACTATAAATGTATTACCCCCAAGGTCTTTTGTATGTTTACTGCATACAAAGATGGCCAACAAGACTCACATTTTGTGAGTGACTGCACAGGAGGTTAATGCACTAGAGACTCTACAGTTTACGTTTTAGTACGTGGTTGACCTAAAAACCAGGGGGTGGCTCCTGCAGCTTATTAGCAACATAACCATTATGCTGGCATGTAATATTAAAAAGGCTAACTTTAAAAATCTTTAAGATTGGTTCCATATGAACCAGGACACTTTTGTGCATCCAGAGGTGGCCTGGACTGAATGGACAAAGACCAAGACGCCAGGAGAAAATTCCTAGTTGCTATGGCGACTAAGCATCTGGGATTTGTTGAGCCCTGCTGTGAAGTTCCCTTTTATAGGCATCCAGACCACTTATTTTCATTTAAGTGGTCTGGGTGCAGTGTCCCTGTTCCCTTAACCCTGCAATGTAAAAAAAAAAAAAAATGATTCGATGGCAGAGGGACACTATATAATGTTATAAATACAAAGCTGAATTCCTAATAGAACAGAATAGTGTTCCTATGACTATTCTGTCTAGGCCAGGTAGTATGCAAACTATGGTACCCTAGATGTGGATTCCTTTGCCAGCATTATGGCTATAAGAGCATTTTGTGAGATGTAGTCCACAATCTGAAGTGCCGAACATTGGCTACCGCTGATTGGCTATATTAAAATTAAAAAGTATTTGCCATTTTGATAGGAGAGTTTTTGGCAAGTCCAGTTTATGACTCACATCAGCCTGTAACTTTTTATACTTGTTGGATTATGTAAAAGATACAAATCAAACAGCTTGTGTTCAAACAGAACCAGGCCACTTGTAAGCTGTTATGCGTTTTTATTTTATTGTAAGTGTGCATTTTCAGTTGTAACAGTTATTAGAAGATTGTCTTCATATTACCATAAACAGAAGGCTTGATTTCGCTGGAGAATAGTGCTGCAGGAGTTTTCAATTATAAATATATTATAAATATATATTTGGAGCTCAGTATTGTCATAAGTCATAACCGAAAAAGTGGCTTAGAGTAGCTTTGCTTACAAAAATTTAATGAATGTTGTTCAACACTGCTCATGCATTGCTCTCAGATACTTTATTTTCTGTACTGCATTGTGTCTTTCCCTCACAGTGCAATTCTAGTAGATCACATTTCTTACAACTCCTATTGCAGAGATTCAGAAATCCTGGGAGTCAAGTCACCATGCCAACCAAAAAAAAACAAAAACCTAGTGCCTCAAATAAAAAAATAAATGTGTGTGTGTATGTGTGTGTGTGTGTGTGTGTGTATGTATATATATATATATATATATATATATTATTATTATGTATGTATACAAAAAATATAAACAAAATATTTATATTTTTTGTATGCACAACGCCAAGGTTTGCACCCAGGCAAGATTCAGTTGATATACTCAGTAAAGGGTGAGTGCCAAGCTCTATCTCTTTTTATGTATGTATATATATATATATATATATGTGTGTGTGTGTGTGTGTGTGTGTGTATATATGTATGTGTGTGTGTGTGTGTATATATATATATATATATATATATATATATATATATATATATATATATATATGGGACAATAAGCAGAGTTATAGTAGTGGTGGTGCGCCAAAACCGATGGTCAAGTAGGCTTGTAAAAATTGAATGGCTTGATAAAGGGAGTGGTGGGTGGGACTTCGGAATCGGGCAGTATTGGGCCAGAGGAAAGGGAGGCCTGTGTATTCAACTCCAGACTCCGCTTACAGGCTCACGTCACCCTTTCTATTTGTGGTCCAGGCCAATAAGCAGAGTTATAGTTGTGGTAGTGTAAGTCAATAGTGGTGTTGACGTTATGTAACCAGTACAATGTAAGCAGTACAGGCCTGCCTTTATTTCCTTTCTGGTTGAGGGATGTACCTGGTGGATGCAGATTTCCTCCATCCCATTCATCAATTATGTGTACTGGGATATTTACTAAAGACTGCAGAAGCAGATCGTATTCTAAAAGAATGATCTGAAAATGTTTGTTTGTATCCAAAATGTTTTATGGTGTTGTGAGCTATTTTAAGGTTGAGGTGGCAAAAGGATGTGAACACCATCTTGGTATCGATTGAGTACAGATTAATTTAAATTATGAAGTGAATTTATTGAAAATGGCCAATACTCTAGTAGATGAACGGTTGGTTTTGGCAGAAAGTGCTCCATGTGCCAGTAATCTACTGTGTCCATGAGCTGAGATAATTCAGTATGAGGTCCTGAAATGTTGGAGTTTTGGTAGGTCGTTTGGTAGCTGTGTGGTGTGCTTTAAAGAATACCTGGAATTGTGATTGGAGGACGGTTTCGGCTGCTATGTTGTGACAGCCTGTTATGTGTATACAGACAAGGTAAGATTCCTCATTATTGTTAGTGAGGAGGACCGACTTTTATTTATAATTTTACATGCACTTGTTGTCAGAGTAGCATTTGACAGATATCCTCTTTCATAGAGACCCCCGGGTGTGTGCTGCTGTTACGATGGGGTATATTTCAAAGAGAGCTGAAGTTTAGCTAATGCTTAGGGTAGGCTTTGCATCTATGTGGGTCATTTGTCATAGAACTAGGTATTCTTGAAAATGACTGCAAATTCAGTAAGGGTAAATCATCGGACAGTGGGGAGGAACATGGCTTGCCTGTTCCAGTGGGATATAAAGTTTAGCCCCATGAATGGGTCTGCTCGAGCCTGTGCATCGAGTGTCTCTAGGAACGCCGCACACGCTGGGGACCGGGACAGAAGGAGGTCAGGTAGTGGTCTGCCGCGAGAAAGGTAAGTATATTATTTATGTCGGCGTGACCGCTGTATTTTCTGTGCGGCCACGCCAACAGAATCCCGCGGAACCGTGACTGAAACAATGTAAGTAATGTAATGACCAAATGAGGGTACGTAATTAATGTTGTAGTTTTGCCAACAGAGGGCCGTATGTAATTGTATGCTGTGGAAGGCCAAGTGAGGGACGAATATAAGCGTATATGTGTGATAGACTAAATGAGGGCCCTACGTAATACGAAGCTGCGCGGTGGCTGAATGAGGGACTAATGAAAAGTTCCAGGGTAATTATACAATTATATTGGGTTTAATGAATGTAGAGGATATTTGAGTACACCGGTGTAAATTTAGTATTGTAATTAGTGACACTCAAGTGGCGGACCTGCTTCATGGCATTTCTTGATTTTGAAGTGTGACAATAACATACTTGGATGAGGGCCATGTTTATGGCCATATAAAATGTATGTCTGTTATAATTATGTCTGTTCTACGGTTAAAGTACGATTGACTGGCAACTCAACACGAACGGACGCCATTTCTACCAGCTCCCAGAACAAACTACTTAAATCCACAAAATATCCCTCTTTCTTGCACCCATCCAGCCACAACACCTGCTCAGACGGCAGCAGCACAAAACACTGCGCCTATCGATGCCGTTCTTCCAACCGCAGGAGCTACAGAATCGGACACACCACATACCATTAAGCCTGGGCCTCGAGGAAATCCTACGTGGACATCTGGCGAAACACATAGAACAGGCGCACCCGCCGGACCATGTTTCAGAAGCCCACCCGTACCCAGCCGGCTCCCGTGGCACCACCGCCAGAGCATAATACCTCCATATCCAGCAAAGCCCAGATCAACCAGGGAACCCCCACACTAACCTACTAGGTGGGGCACCCAGGGCGACCGGGATGGGGACTGAACTGCAGAGGCAATCTGCCACAAAGATAGCACTGGAACAACCAGAAGGCCCAGGCGCCCATGAGGGACCCAAAGAGAGGCCCACAGAACTCATGCAAACCCAACCGCACACAGCAGCCCTAGCAGTGGGACCCAATTTAACCCCAGCTACAAAGCAGGACATAGCGGACCTATTACATGAAATGAGGCAGCTGCATGCAGCAGACATGGACTTACTCAAAACAGAAATGACAGCGGCCACAGCACGTACACAGGCCTCCGAAGAAGACATACTGGACTTAAAGCAGGAAGTACAAGGCCTAAAAGAAGCCCTACATCAACTGCAAAACTCCCAGGCTATGCTACTAACCAGGGCGGACCAGGCAGAGGACCGTCACAGACGGGCAAACATTAAGATCCGCGGCATACCCGGCTTTGTTGGCTTAACGGAACTCCCCCCATTACATAAGACGGTTCACCACCTCCATCATGCCACACGCCCAAGCGAAGAAACTCACTTTTAAAGGCTTATTCCGCATACCAAAGCCAAGGCAAGCACCACAAGGAGCCCCACAGGACGTCATCGTCCGATGCCATTCAACCGCTGATAAGATCCAAATAATGACCGCGGTCAGAGGTAAAACCCCGCTAAACTTCGAAGGCGCCCAACTCACTTTTTACCAGGACATTACCCGTACAACGCTATTATGGAGCAGATCAATGGGCCCGGTGACCAACCACCTACGCAACATGGGCATCGAATACCGGTGGGGATTACTGCGTACTCTGCTAGTCACTAAAGATGGGAGCACAAAGAGACTGTCCACACCGCAGGAGGCGACCTCATACCTCCAAACCTTGGGGATTCCCACGCCGAACGCGGAGATAGCAACTCCCGCAAGATCACATACCTGGGACCCAGAGAGATTGGTGTCCTTTACCCCGAGAGACACGGAACGTACAATAGCTCCCACCTGACAAAAATGTTAACCCACAAGAAGACATGCTATACTGTTGACACAGGACTTTGAGCTATGACCTCACCAATTGAAGACCTCTGCTTTGTTTTGCATTACTCCTAAGTTCATCGTAATGTGCATTAACTTGACTTGGCCTGTCCCACACTGGCACTACAAGCCATAACTGGCTTTGTTCCACGAAGTCACACAGAGTTCCACAGGCAATTAGTACACACATGCCAGGCAAGAGACATACAGTGGGCACTGGTCCCCGACTACCAACAGACCGCAAACTCCCAATAGACGCATCACCTCCACTGAAAGATGGGACCACCAAGTAGGTACCCCCACACTAGACCCCCTAACGGACAACAAAGAGGCAGACCCCCGATACAGACCTGAACGATAGTAACACATACCTCACGCAATAACTTGGAGAAGCTGGCAAATAGCTCAGTCAGGCACACGACTCACAGACAGCATATATAGACCCTGACTTGACAACGGACCAAACACTCTGTCTCACAAAACAAATACAAAAATACGTGCTTTGAACGGAATACTCCTTACGTGACTTACAACCCAGTGGATATGTGTCCGTATTTACATATTTTGTCTTATTGTGTAGTATAATGCCTTGTTTTCCTTATATTATGTTTTCACGTATTGTTAACGAAAAAGAAAACAGTGCAGCTATCTAAAAATTCGCTGATCTTACTCTGACATTATTTGAACTGTATTTTTGAGAAATGTAATGTAAATGTTCAAGCTTTTCTTTATTATATGCTCTGCACTACAAAAATAAAGATTTAAAAAAAAAAAAAACTAAAAAAAAAGTACGATTGACTAGGCCCGCCTAGTGCTCGGAAAGGGATGGAATGCATTGTACGATTGAAATAGGCTAAATTTGCGTTGTTAGTGAAATTTGCCATATCAGAATACGGACTGAACTGTGAATCCCGCCCTTGTTAGTGAAATGGCCAATGTGGGCTGAATACGTGTTGAATGTCAGTACTAACACATACCCATGCAGGCCAAACAAAGAAACTAATGGTTTTATTGAAAAAACGCACAAGCAAAAATAGGAAAATTTGCAACGGTGCCTCATGAGCTTCAAGGGAGACTGCTGTTTTTTTGGGGGGGGTTTGTTTTTTAACTCAAGTGAGGTAAAATTTATTCTTGCGTGGGCTGCACTTGGCCAAGACCAGCTTTTGGTGTTGATAACATTTGAACCAGGAGTAGAAGGTTCTAGCTGAACCAGCAATACCGGAAGGGTGGCCTGTGTATTTATAGGCCAGGTAACACCTCCCGCAACTTCAGACTATATATGTGTATACCGTATATACTCGAGTATAAGTCGAGTTTTTTGGTATATTTTTTGTGCTGAAAAACCCCCACTTGACTTATACTCGAGTCAAGGTCTGTATTATGGCAACTAACATTACCATAATACAGACCAGGACCGCCAGGCTCATTACAAGCCCGGCGGTCCTGTTGGGGGCTGGCAGAGAGCTGTAACTTACCTTTCCTGCAGCTCCTGTCAGCTTCTTTCTCTCTCCTCCGGTCCTTCAGCTTCCCTCTCAGCTCCAGTGTAAGTCTTGCGAGAGCCGCGGGGTCAACACTCCGCGTGGCAGTTACACCGCAAGACTGACAGGGGAGCGGACAGGAGCTGCAGGAAAGGTAAGTAACAGCTCTCTGCCAGCCCCCCTCCTACACAGCCTATGCCACTGGACCACCAGGGAGTGAGAGCCCCCCCTCCCTGGCCAGCTAACAAGCAGGGAGGGGGGACGATAAAAAATAAATACAAATTTAAATAATAAAAAAATAAAAATAATTTAAAAAAATAATAAAATATTAATATAACAAAAAAAATTAATATTAAAATAATAATTTAAAAAAATAATAAAAATGCCCACCCCCCACCAAGGCTCTGCATCACATACACACACTGCATCACGCATCACACACACACACACACACACACCATTCATTATATACACACACACTGCATTCATTATATACACACACACTGCATTCATTATATACACACACTGTAAATAAATATTCAATTAATATTTTTTGGGGATATAATTTTATTTAGAAATTTACCAGTAGCTGCTGCATTTCCCACCCTAGTCTTATACTCGAGTCAATACGTTCTCCCAGTTTTTTGGGGTAAAATTAGGGGTCTTGACTTATATTCGGGTCGACTTATACTCGAGTATATATGGTATATATAAAACATTTGTGGTCGTAAGCTGTAATAAACGTCACATAGGGAATATACGCAATTCTGTTAAGGTGTGACATGCTGTAAAATAGAGGGCCTACCTAAGTTCTCAAAATCAAGATGAGTTTACTGTAGAGGATGTGATTACTTTAAACTAGTCCCTCCCACAACTCCAGGCTCCCGCCTTTATATTTGTGGCCGGGACACGAGGCCTAAGAAAAGAAATAAACATAATAAATGTAACACAGGGAATATACGTAATGGTTCAGGAGTGCCAAAACTACTTTTAATAGAATTATTCCATTAAACTTTTGAAAGTTTGTCTGAATTCAGTTTCCTGTTGTGGAATATAGCGACAGTGCAGTTCAGTGCCCCAATTTTGTAATAATATGGACTATGTTTTGTTTAACTAGAAGCAGTGGATGCTCACCCTATCTGGAATGAGTGTCCCAAATAAAGTGTAGGGTTCAGGCCTAATCTAATCGGCGCAAAATTCATATACACAGTATGAATTTCATGGTAGTTAGAATAGAGCCGTAAAGTGAAAACGATGGTTGGTTAGGGGAAGAGTGAATTGTAGACAATATCTAAAGTATGTTAATGGTACTATTTATTATGTGTAGGGTACATTGGTATTTCAAAAATGTGACTTATTTTGCTGATATTTGTATGGGAATGGAAAACTGTATAATTGTTTTTTTTTTTTTTTTTTTTTTAAATGGTCAACTTTTAAACACTGCTCTCTTTTAATAGAGCTTTCACTAATAAATTATCTGGTTTAAAGAATCTGTAGTATGCAAAGTATATTGCTATCCTAATTGCTATCCTAATTGCTAGGTTATAATGAGACTGAGATGAGTCAAGTAAATTAGATAATAATCTAAATATATCACCATAAGCGAACACAAGCAATCTAGGCACGGTCACCCACGAGAGCGGCATACGCTGCTTGGTGGACGACCACCACAGAACGAAATTCCACACAGAGGCAAGGACAAACACGCACTAGCTGAAGTAGTGGACAAGAGGAGAGAGACCCAGAGCCATAGGAAAGACCTAATACATAGTAAAGGTCAACAGCAATACACAAATATGCCACCGAACAACACACAACACTCCTAAATAAAACGCACGAGACTGAGAACTAGGGTGTTACAGTCAACCCGCCCGCAACGGGAAATCAGATGATATCAGACAAAGACAGAAGCCCCGGAGGGTGGGGGGCAACTAACGCCAGACGACAGCACCAACACATAAACAGAACACAGAGAACCACGAGATAGGGTCCCCCATCGCACAATGAGATAGCCCTAACCCCCTGGTAAAAGAATCAACCCACGATACGAGGGAATGTAAAACAAACAATAAAAGGAGGAAAGGAGATAAGGAAAAGAAAAGGAGTGGGGAATAAGGGGGATACGGATTGTGCAGACAAACGAGGATAATAAGGCTTGCAAGCCCGAGGGAATACGGTGAAATGTGAAATACATAACTAAATGTAACTGTACATGAGACCTGCGTGTCTCCCAATCCACTATTGCATGTTTGATCTTATTTGCTACATCAAAAGATCAAAAATAAACACATATTTACAAAAAAAAATATCACCATTATAGGGAGTCGCTTAGATGTTTAAAATTGACTAGTGTCCTGAATTACCTTTATTATGTTTTTAATCTGATATCATGAAATGAAATTATGTTTATTAGGGTATAAGGTCAACATGTGATGTAGTATCCTAGACTGCAATATCCTAGTAAGGTGGCAAAAAGCAGTAAAGGTTACCAAAGATCAGTTGAGAATGTTGTGCATATAAAACTCTTCTGAAAATCTTTTACAAATTTTGAATGCCGTGTTCTAGGACCAAATAGTATTTGCTGAAAGTGCTGCTTGCACTAGATGTCTGATTAATAAGGCTATTTAATACATCGTTAATTGGTGAAAGTTTGGATTTGTGTTGGGTGTCTGGCTGTTGGATGTGCTTGAAATAAGACAATGCGTCAGCTGTAATATTGTTGAATTTTGGTACCTGTACACATCAAATTAAACTGGTACTTTGCTGCTAACCAGGTCAATTGAATGATACATTTCATAATGGCCGAGGATTGTGACCATCCTTTATTTACAATAAAACAGCTTGATTTTTTTAATTTTATTATTTTAGGAAAGCATTTAACAGTCTGACCAGACTATAAGTGGCCCCAGGATTGGGCTGCGGCTACTATAGAGTATATTCCGATAAGTTGTGTCTGTAAATGCATCTATATCTTTAGCCTCTGTTGTCCAAGTGCTTCAAAACCAATCATTATTGTAGATTGCTGCGAAGCGAGTTGAGGATGAACAATACGTTCAGATTATAGATGAATTATCTGCTAGAGGTCGAAGAAACATGGACTTCGCATTCCACTCGTGTAGAAACCTCTGCCACATAGTATGGTTTGCCAAAGCTTACTTATCTTTGACGATTAGAGGTGTTGTTTATCTTTAACATTGCAGGAGCCTATAGTGCCAGGAAAACGGTTTTGTTTTCCTTGCACTATAGAATCCCTTTAAGTTGTAACCAGCATAGTATCTCGCCTGGGGCTATTTGATCCAAAAGTAAGCCTGGTAAAGAAATAGTGGTTTTCCCACTTGATACCACGTATATGCTATAGGGATAGGTGAAAAGGAAGGAGTTTGAATGCATGTACAATATCTATCTTGCTTAACCATGCACCAGTTCCAGCTGAAACAATAGCTTGAATGGCATTGTCTATTGTAGTGTACTGTAGCAAGTATTCTTCAAATGTGATTAATACATCTAGGCTACTTAGGGCTGTAGAGTAGGGGGCTGATAAGTCAATTATGAATCCTTTTTTATTTGACGTTTTTCCGTAGCAATCCCTTTTGAGTTAGAATGCCATACAGAGAATGGGAGAACTTGGGCCTATTAAGAATCCTTGTTCTAATTCTGTTTTGATGAGGGATCTCTCAAATCAAACTGCAAACTATTGCATTCCAATGTCTGTGTGAGGAAAGTAAACCTGTGTGACAACCCAGTTTCTTTCAATTCTCTTTGGTTGGCTCATGTTGCGTTAGTAGTATGCTGCAGGCTAGTGGTAGGTGTGTTAGTATCAGGTGGGCATAGGTTGTTGGAATGTGATGTAGAAGCCCAAATCGCACATGTTGGTGTCCTAAAGCCTGCAAAATGCATGTAAAAGAGCTCTGTATTCAACTGACTCCAATTGTTTTTCTTTTTGTTTTGTTTTTTTATATTCAACTGTGCCAAGGCTACCATAGTTTTGGCTGAAAAGAATCGGTTGTAGTTATAGAATGTAGAGCCACTGTATTTGTAACCCAGATCCTCTAACCTGTGCAAATATATAAAACAAATTCTTCTCTACAGTATGGGAAACTGGAGCACACTCCATCTTTGTAAGTACCAAAAACTAGTTGGAATGTAGGAATAAATAACTCTTTATTCAGCCTTGGGTCTCTTGTTACAATAAAATTAGTAGAAATAATTTGAATTCCCTTTTTGTATTGGCTTGCTGACTAATGTCAAGTGGTAAAAAGATTAGCTAAGTGGGTGACAGGTGAGGCCCTGCTAGGTGCCAAGCGACTTGAGTGGCTCTATCTATGCGTTGGGCTGAGTGTTGTTCAGGCCACCGAATAATGGTGTAGTGTGTAGGGCTCTCGGTGATACAGAAGAGCATAAGATAGTATGGGAGGCACTAGATATAATTTGTGTCTGCCCTCTGCATGAAGATACTGAACTATCCTTGTAGAGATGCATTGATTCAATGCAGCTCTGAGAAGATGCTGATTGGCCAGCGAGGTGTTTGGTTCTGCCCAGGGCTCGAGTCCTGCAGGAACGCATGGGAACGGCGTTCCTGCACTTTTTCCAAAGCAGGAACGCCGTTCCCGTTACCTGTCCTGCAGGACCGGCCCTGGTCCCTGCACTGAGGGGCCGTCACATGCTGTGTTCATTCTCCAGTTATAACTCTCGCGAGACCCGCGGCTGTTACCATGGCAACGCTCCGCACAGGCGAGTCTCGCGAGAGTTAGAGCTGGAGAGGGAACACTGCTTGATGGCCCCTCTGTGCAGCGAGCGGCTGGCTCCCTCCAGCATACCACCGGACCACCAGGCGATCTCCCCCCTCCCTGACAAGGTAAGAAGCAGGGAGGGGGGAATAAAATAAAAAAAAATATAAAGTTAAAAAAAAATCCTCCCCCCCCCCACACACATCATCCAGCACTCACACAAACACCAATCATCCAGCACTCACACAAACACCAATCATCCAGCACTCACACAAACACCCATCATCCAGCACTCACACAAACACCCATCATCCAGCACTCACACAAACACCCATCATCCAGCACTCACACAAACACCCATCATCCAGCACTCACACAAACACCCATCCATCACAAACACCCATCATCCAGCACTCACACAAACACCCATCATCCAGCACTCACTCACACAAACACCCA